CCGGTTGCTCATTGTTGATCCGAATCATCGGTTTCGATTTCCGGATCAAGTGAAAAAACATGTTTTTGTAGCTAAACCAGGCGACTTTTAGAGAATTTCTCGATTTATTATGGTGATTAGCGGCCTTACTTTCACAACTCATATATGCTTTCAGAAGACATCGGCTATATTAATTTGTTCAATTGCTACTTCTCATTGGTTTATTATGATTCGGATCAAGATGTTTAAGCAGCGTTCTCACGTTCTCACTTACGTTGATACTTAAATCGAAACGAATATTTGTTCACACACATAATAAAAAATGATGCGCTAGTTGTTTCTAAAATGGCTGCCGACGAAATTGTCCAAGGAGGCATAGCAGCTATTTACGAATTGTTAAATGAAGAAATCAGAGACATTTTGTCAAAATTTGACAGAAAATCTAGAAAACGTCGGTTTTGGGTCAGGATTTGGGTACTGCGAAGGAATAAATTGCCTTTCGGGAACCCTGGCTTTAGAGGAGAAGGATGCCTACAAAAATTAGATGATAATGTCCGAAGAACAATTTCAACGACTTCTTCTAAAGATAAAAAGCAAAATACAAAAATAAGATACCATTATGAGAATATCTACTTTCTCCATTTCTTGTACAATGATAGTTGAAGAGTGGTTTCGAGCAGGGTATTCCATAAACAGTCATGCTGTTGATATAAATCCAAAAAATGTAGCACAATACTTTCAGACCACTTCATGCTCTTTTTAGCCACACAGAACAAACACCCAAGCCACAATATCGACTTTATTCAATGCGAAACTCGACTGACTATAGTTCACACGCTTCAAATCCGTTTCAAATTGTCTGAAAATCGCCTACGACGCATTAAATTGATCGATAAGTTTTTAATGGATCAAACTTTTTCGGTTCAACTAAAATTGATCAACAAAAATCGAAAACACGGTTTAGAAGCATATTTTTATTCGATTTTTGTTGATCAATAAAAATCGTTCTACTAAAATCGACTCGTGAGAACGCTGCTTTAGCTCCAGCTTCAATAGTAAAATAGAAAAATGGGAACGGCATCTGGATAACCAGTTAGCTGGGTACAAGTCGTTCCAATAATGTCGGCCAAACTAGACAGAAACGTTTTAAAATTTGTAAATTTGAACAGTGATCAGTGATACAGAAGTTGGAATTCCCTAGCAAATTTGATTCTTGCAGTACTCGTAGGCATATAGGCCGGACCTAAATCGCAATTCAATTAGCTTCATTCCACGTGCTCGTGTCCAGATAATGGTGAGGTTTGGCGAGGTATAATTCGGGTAACGTGGAAGCGGACATGTTCCAATCCACCAACAGCATCGCGGTCGACCGATTCGAATGCAGAAGGATTCCAAACGTTGCTTCCACTGCCTACAAATCCGCTTATAGCCCTCATTAAACTTCATTTGAATTTCCTTGCGGAACAGAAACGGAGAATGCTTATTTCGCGAAGTACTTTTAGGTAAACTTCTGTAAAGCTTCACGATATTTTGATTCCGTTGTGCAATCAGGAGGCAATCGCGTCTTTAGGAAAACATGTTGGTGCTGTCGTCACTGAATATTTTAAGAAAGTGTACTAGGTGATCCAAAAAACAATATTAACTTCTAGGATAAGGGTTGGTCAAAAATAGCACAAAATATATATAAATGTCTCTTCAACAGCACTCAACTGAAAAACGTTTGACAATGTATGTAAAACAAGCTTGAACATGTGGCTCCGCTCGCCTGGAAGCAGTGTTAAGTATATGTCATACGTCTTACATTAGATTGAATGAGATTAATTTCGGAGAAGGAAATGCTATTGCGTTTACAAAATAATGCAAAACTTTGGTAATGTATCTTATTCAACATTTTAATGCATCAATATATAAACGTGAAAGTCTCTCCAGTCTGTCAGCATCACATCTGAACCACAATATGAAGTAACGTAAAATTTTGTCGACTTACTAATTTATACCTGTCAGGTTATATCCGAGTTGTCATCATCGAATTTGCCTATGACAAAAAACTTTCTCAGAATTTCAGGATAACAGAAGTAATTACCTTGAATATGGCCTAAAAATGATCTCTCAGGGAATTGACAATCTGTCACCCACTAAGATCAAGGGAACTATTCCTTGTAATTTCCTTTTATGTCACCCACATAGTAACTTTTTGCATAGTAAAAGGATACCATCCTAAACAGTGGCAACTGGTCTTAATTATGCGTTTCCGTTAACTATCAAATCCTGCTGAACTCAACCATCTTAGACTTCGAAGTTATTTACATGTACGAACCATGAGCATAGTTTTACTGTAGCCGCTAGATGGCGGTCTCTACTGTACCTGTAGTGTATTAAAATGACCGAAAAAAATTTCTTAGTGCAATTTTTGCTTTTTGAATAAAAAAACTGATTCTTCGCACTTTTCAACATAAAAAAGCTCTCTTGTGAATTTTCGTTATAGTTGGCCGTTTTTGAGATATTTCGATTTTTGAGGTTCAATGCATTTTTAATTATTTATGGGAAAATAATATTTTTTTTACATTTTCGATTTGGGCATTACAAGTAATTAAGATGATCGTTTAGATTGTGTTTTTAAACACAGCAATAATTCCTAACTCCGAATAAACACAAAAAACAGAGTATTAATTTGTTTAATTTTCCAATATTATTTATAACAAATTAAATTAATTATTTACAACTAAAATGCTATTGGATAGTTAGGACAAACATACAAAATCTAAAGTAGTTGCTCGAAATGTAAACCCAATTGTTCAATACACAATTCACATCTACGAATGATCGAACGTGGTATAGCATTATTCAAATAAGGCCTTATTTCATCACATGCCTTCCTGACACTGTCTATTAGCATATCTCTTGTGGTTATGGGCGTCTGGTACACTTTTTCTTTTAGAAATCCCCACACAAAGAAATCTAATGGATTTAGGTCAGGGGATCGTGGAGGCCAGGCGACTGGTCCTCCACGGCCGATCCATCTTCCTGGATAATTTTGGTCCAGCAAGTTTCTAACTATTCTCGAATAATGAGCTGGACAACCATCAAGCTGGAACCAGGCGAATCTTCTTAAATCTAACATAACATCATCTCACATATTTGCATGTTCAGCCTTTAAAAAATCCAAGATGGTCGCCGCATTTAACCTTGCAGGCAATAGGTAGGGTCCAAATAGTCGATTACGGTAGATTCCAATCCACACGTTCACACTAAATTCATGCTGAAAATTTCTTTCCCGAACAGCATGCGGATTTTCATGCGACCAAATATGTTGATTATGAAAATTCACCACTCCACGTCTAGTGAAGCATGACTCATCGGTCCATAAAACGTTACTTAAAAACTCCCTATTATTATCAGTTCTATCAAGAATCCACTGATAAAATGTAATTCTTCGTTCTCCGTCCGCTGGCTGTAGTCCTTGTACAGGTTGCAAATGGTAGGGACGTCTATGGTCATTTCTAAGAACACGGTGAACATGGCTTGCTGAAATTCCCAAGGCACCAGAAACTCTCCTAACACGTGTGGTCGGATCTCTGTCAAACTCACTCAGAATCATACGGGTAAATCTACGCTGGCGAACATTTATGTTTTGATCCCTTTGGAGAAAACCATTTTCAATTATTTGGCGATGCACTCTTACAAACACTGAGCGAGTTGGATGTCGTCTGTTTGGAAATCTTCGTGCGTATTCTCTGGCTGCTTCTGCTGCGTTTCCATTTACAAAGCCATACACAAAATGAATATCCGCTAACTCTTGATTGGAGAATAAAAATGGCACTTTTATAAAACTTACAAAAAAAACAGGTAAAAGAAACTAAATTTCGTGCATTTACAATTGCAAAAAAACGTTTCAGGTTTCAACAGACAACAAAACTAACTGTCAACTAATTGACGTTTAACCTTATTCTGCTTTCAATTTCAAAAATATTTGCAGGCACAGCCTACTTCTAAAAATTATCGAGATACTGACTTTTTAACGTTATTTTATCATAAATAATTAAAAATGCATCGAATCTTAAAAATCGAAGTATCTCAAAATCGGCTAACTATAACGAAAATTCACAAGAGAGCTTTTTTATGTTGAAAAGTGCGAGGAATCAGTATTTTTATTCAAAAAGCAAAAAAATGCACTAAGAAAAATTTTTCGGTAATTTTAATACACTACAGGTACAGTAGAGAACGCCCTCTAGCGGATACAGTAAAACTATGCTCAAGGTTCGGTTTGTCGTACTAAAAAAACCTTGTATACCAATGTTCACTATTATACATCAAATATTGTTCGAAATATTTAAAAAAAACTATTTTAGGAAGTAAATTTGAATACCCTGTATTTCGGAAGCCATGAATTTTTCGACCCATGTGTATATAGACTTTAAACATTAATTTTAAAAGTTCTATCGAATCTTAAAGTTATGCAACAATAAACTGAAACACCCTGTATAGATATAAAATGAAATTCTAAGAAAAACATAACACCACGCAAATCTAAATCAAGACGATCATACGAAGGTAAAACGAATGTCAAAATGCAGCAAATGCGTGATGCAAGTGCTCTATTTATATATCCTTCCTCATTTCAGGCGGTCCATCGACTGAGCACTTCCACACCAGACAACTCATATAAAATTCTATTAAATAGATATTTCAAAATTTCTTCCCGGGATTAAAAGTAGCCTATGTGCTAAGCCACACTACAGTCTATCTCTGTACCATCTCATCCAGATCCGCTTTGCCATTTTGTCGTGATTGTGTAACAAACATCCATACTTTCTCATTCATACTAACCGGAAGAATCACTACTATTGCCTGCAATGTTCCACTCAGAAGTACATTTTCTCTTCCTATGTAAACAATCATAACAAGGAACACCTAGGAATAGTAATGTCACTTAAAATTGATAACTTCATTGTTTATCAGGTTGGCAACTAAGTTTTATATTTCGAAATATGTGAAAACAAGTAAAAAATAGATAAAGTATAGCTGCTCACGTAGCTAGTAGCTAGCTTCTTGAGTATTTTAATGATCGGGAAAGTATTAAAAGACCACACTCGAATAAAAGTGACTGACCAATAATGAGCTGCTTCTCAGCCTAGGTATGTATTTTACTACCACTACTAACATGAGAAATCGCCGTTACTTTGCTCTATTAGAAGTAGCTTTTCACTCTTTAGATAAACAATGAAATGATTTGAGGTTGTATTTCGCTAATGCCTTTGAAAACAGAGCATTATTATTTTCAAATATTTGATATCTAATAATTAGGTAATCAATAATATGGCTCCATACAGAAAAAATACCACCAAGAATCCACTATAACTTCTTGGCCGTCCTGCTTCATTTGGTACTTTTTATATACTCATTAATTTTAACTGGATTGGCAGCGCGACATTACATATTAGTGCTATGATGGAAAAATTGTGAATTGTATTGTTTGTCGCGTAGTTGTAGTATATACTTTTAGCTATCTGGATTACCGTTGCATACCAAAGTGAAACCGAAAAACATAGACCTATATATATTTTTTAAAGTATATTCAGCTATTCATATTGGGTGTATTCACGTTGAGCAAGGCAGAAATACTAAACAAATCTAGTTTGTGATATGAATTGTTATTGTTAACAAACAGATATAAATTAAATCAGACAAATAAACGAAAGTAAATACTTATCAACGATACAGCATATGAACAATTCTGCTTAATTCGTGATTTCGAAAGATAAACAAGATGAAATATTCTCTCCATCAAACAGCAACAATAACGTATTCCAGATATTTTAAATATTGGAGGCAACTGCATGAATTCAACTCGCTTTTTTTCTAAATAGTTGTCGCGATCTGAGCAGATCATTGGCTGAAAGTAGATATCTAGTTCAGCATAATATGGAAATTAAAGATATTCTATCACTGTCAGTACGTTTATGCAATAAAATGGTTTGGAAGCATTTTAATTAATTTGCTCTCCACAGTTCTTTGCATACTAAGCTTTTTCCACAGATCTCGTGACACTAAAATAGGATCGTAAAATTACTCCTCAAAACGCAAAAGTAGCTTTCCTAAGAACTTCTAGAATCAGAATTGAAGCACATAAAGTTAAATTTTAGTTTATTTGGATTAAAGACTTCGTTGGCCATTTTCAATATCAGTCAAAGGATTGATTTTGTGTCTAATACTTTGCATTTTTCAATGTTGTTAGGCATAGAATTTGTTAACAAACCTTAGATAGGGACTAAATGCCCACCAAAACAACCAGTGAAATATAATAAATCAAAATAACCTCACAACTGTCCAGGTAAAAGCTCAATATTGAGGTGCATGCCCATTGGCACCGCTGATCACTGTAATTTATAAGACTTGTCGAAAAAAAGATATCCTCTTTTGCAATCCACAGAAAATAAACCTCCATCATTTTCGGCAACTAGGGTTGTATGAAACCCAAGGACTTTTTTATGTTTTTGCAGAAAACTACGAATTTATTATAAAATGTCAACAACTGTCAAACTGGTGGCTTAATCTTAACCGACTTGAAGTACGAACTTACATCCTGACTACTGACTACGTAAGCTTGACGACAAACAAGTCATATACTTCTCCTACTACATAGTCCGACACAATGATTCGAACCTAATTTAATTGAAACTAATAATAAGAAAGGTACGAAAAATACTATACATAAATGGACCTTGGTGAAGGTCGTTATTGGCGTGTTTGACTGTGACATTTACGTAGGTATTATTTTAAAATCTGGGAAATTCTTACCCACAGAATAATGCAAAACCCAATCAATTTAAAAATAGTACTGTTTAGATGTTCATTACTACTGTTTTTACACATTAAGCATAGGATGAACTCTTATAGGTTCGTTGCTTTTAGGAACTGCTTGGTAGATAGAGGCTACGACGTGAAAATATCAGACCTAGGTTCGTATAGAGAAATGTACAGTTCAGACTACTGCCAAGTGGGTGGCTCGAGACCTCTGCCAATTAGATGGATGTCGTGGGAAAGCGTTTTACTGGTACGTACACAATTATAGTCAATTGAGTGAAAATAGATGAATGATCCATGTGATTAGCTTGCCATTTCACACATAGTTTGCTGCTTCTCGATCTGGTTCAGTACTTCTTGTAGAAGCTATTCTGATATACAACATTGACATATAGTGATAACTCGACAAACTGGTCAAACGTGGATCATTTATTGTTAATAATTGGGGTAGATCATAACAATAGGTTTGAGTAAAAATCCGCCGACACCGATGATTCACACCGCCTAGTTTTACACACAGGTTCATTTGTATAATATTTGCTACGCCTAAGAATCCAACATCATATACCTCACAAAAACCTAGCGAGTTTCAATAATAAAATGTCGGCGCAATCAAAATTGGCCGTTACATGGAGTATTGAAGGCACGGCACTAAAGGGAAGACTGATCACAACCACAACTGTAACTGAAGCAGGCTAGCTTCAAAGTTCTTATCAAATCATAGTAGCTGGGCATAGAATCCTTGGATTTGTCAGTTACTATTGCTAAAAATATTGAGTCTGTCTAGCTTTTATCAATTTAACCCGTAATAATATATTTATTGGATTCTAATATAACATTCTGTTTATGTGAAATAACAAAAATGAATCTTCCTTTACTTAGGGAAAATACACGTCAAAGAGTGACGTGTGGTCCTTCGCCGTATTGCTGTGGGAGATACTAACCTTCGCTAGAGAACAGCCATTTGAGGAATTGAGCGATAGCAAGGTGATCGAGAATATTACCCATGTGTACCATAATGATGGGCAGCACGTAAGTATTCTGTCAAACCAAACCAGATGCTTCAATTTAGTATATAGTTATTATTATTACAAAATAGAAATGAGCAGAGTACAATACTATAATCTCATGTACAAAAGCAAGACTTCGCCACGGATAAGTAGCATAAAATAGATAAAATCAAATCAAAAAGTTCATAGCGAGAAAGTTTGTTCACTGTTCCACCCATCATAATACGCTTTAAAGCTATTCACTGACGTAGCGTTAACCACACTTTCTGTTTAACTGTTCCAAGTATGAAATATGCGATTCTGGACAAACCAGTGCCGGACTGTCGTTCTAAACAGCTCCTATTGCAGTTTAAAGCTGTGATCTCGAAGTTGACATAGTTGCTCCGGGTTGTACCAATCAAGCCTTGAAGGTATCTATAAGATCGCGTCGAATTCTTCGGTCGGAGAATATGGAATGAATCAAGCCGATCTCCACAGCTGAGTCTGCGAGCTCGAAATGTGATTCCAGTTCCCCCACGCTGTATACAGGGCCTGCAAATTCTAGTATTGACCTTACAAATGTCTTGCAAATGAAGGCGCAAGTGTGGACTTCAGCTCCTTTGGAATACCTCTCCAGCATATATAGAAGCTTTTTGGCTTTGGTTGTAAATTATCGTGTCATCGGTATAAGCAAAACAAGGAGAACAAGGCTGGTGGATTACCTGAGTACAAAAAAAAAGTGCTACACCCAAGCCTGAGCCTTGGGGACTCCCCTTGCCACACGATGAAGGGGTCACTAGCTATCATTGACGCACACAAAAAAGTTCTCACGGTGAGGAAAGCCTCGATCTACTGCAGCAGCTCGCCTCTAATTCCAAGACACTCCAGCTTGAAAAAAGTCTTATCTGCGGGACGCAACCAAAAGCCTTAAAGAAGTCTAGATATATATCTGAACTGGATTCTTCACGTACAGAGACTGTGTCCAATCATTGAGACAGTGGAGGAGGTTGATGATTATCGATCATCGTCTAGAAATAAATCCGTGCTAGTTGTTAGGGATGAGATAATTTTCGAAAGCAAATGTTCAGAGCTTATCTAATATGATCCGTTTAGCTATTTTATATAGAAACGTGATTTTTGGACGATAATTTTTGGCGGGGGATTGAGTCCTGAAAAGAGGATTTAAATACCACGCTTGGCGGCAGTGCCGGAGCTGAAGTACAGTTTTTAAGTACGGCAGCTGTGATCCCATCTTTACCAGGGGAGGAAGATATCTTCAGATTTCGCAAGTGCTTCAATGTATCTCCTGACAGACAAATGCTGTTAAGGCTTAAGGCATCTATGGAGGTTAGTGGTTGCTGTGGGATCTGCATCAGGTTCTTCGACAAAGTCTCCGCTGAATAATTCTGTTAGTAAGTTGGCAGATTCGGTAGCATTCATATGGAAGTGAGTTTTGTCCCAACCGGTCTAGAATGAAAACGCCCTTGGGCATTCAGGAGAAAGTGTCCCAATACTACTCGTTGTCGCAGCAGGATGATTTTGTATACCATTCCAGCCAGTTTTAAGATCATTCTGTTACGACGAATTCGATACTTGCCTTGAAACTTTAATTGAAGGAAATTATCTGCGAATTGCAGCAACTGTCAGGATGCCAGGTGACTATCCACTTCTTGCGTGTGTATTATATTTTAATGTCAGCGTGATATTTTAATAATTTGCGTTATTCTATACGTGTTATAGACGTTTTTAGATGTGAAAGTGATCTGATTGGAGATCTATTATCAGATTAATTTTATTAGAGTGACAAAGGGGGCAGCGATTCGTTTTCGGGTTAAAGTGAAGATGACTTGGAAGTTGTTCCATGTCAACCACGAATAAAAAAATTAAAAAGAGAATTACCTAAGTATGTATTTTTGGTAATCATTTGTTGTCATGGAAATAGGTACTGAACTTGTTAATAGTATGCATTAGAGCTTAATCAACTTTGATACTGCTGACTGAAATAAGGATTATGATAATGACGGCTAATACGTTAGAGAAAGGATGGTCAACAGTTTAAATTTGGAACCGTAAGAATATAACATTGATCATTTCACACTTTCTAGGCTCAAAACGATTTCAAAATCATTGAAGCTTCTTTGAAATTACTCCAGAATCGTGACTGCTCGGTGCATGCGTAAAAATATAATCGAACAATTCAGGTACGATATCAGAACTCAAGGTTGGAAAAATGATAATTCACACAACTTTTAATTTCTACATCGACAGCAGACATTGTGCTTCCACCTAGAATAAAACGAGTAATATTTCTTCCTCATAGTAGATAAAATATCAGCTATAACGCATACTAGATCGTATAACTCGCTTGGTAAAATATGGAGCTATTACCGTACACTTATGGCTTAGAAGAGGAGCCACACATATTCCTTCGTATGATTGTACAAACTATGTCGATAATACCCTTGCATTGTTGGAGATAAAATAGTTATTTGTCAAATCGCTCACAATCTGTGCAGATATCACGATCATTTAGTAAAGAAATGTATATTAAGTGTGGTGTCCCACAAGGAACTGTCTTAGGTCCGCTGTTATTCAATATATATTTAAATGATATTTTCCAAATTCATTGTGTTGGCAAAATAACTAGTTTTGCAGATGATACTGCAATAGTATATGAAGGCACTGACTGGTCTGATCTGAAAAATGTAATTGAAAATGATTTTATCAAAATTATTCGGTGGTTTAACAGTAGAAAATTAAGCATTAACTACTCTAAAACACATTTTTTACCATTTGGATCTTATGCTAGACATCTGCCAAATTACACAAATTTCTCCTTCAATATTAATGATCAAAAAATGCAAATTAATAGAGTGCCCAACATAAAATACCTTGGAGTGGTCTTGGATCCTCACTTACGATGGGACATCCATGTCAATTATATTTTAAAGAAAGTTAGATTTGTATCCTACAAAATTAAATACCTTGGGAATATATTGACAGAAAAATATCTTCGAGCATTATACCATGCACTGATTGAGCCTCATCTCACATATGGTATATTAGCATGGGGAGCTGCATGTTCCTCACATATCTATAATTTAGATGTTTTTCAAGAAAGTATTCTAAAAATGATATTTAAAAAACCGAAACTTTATCACTCACTACCTTAAATTTGTAAACACTGACCAAAAAATTAAACATAATCATTATACCAGGTACAAAATTCGTGGCACAGTAGTTCCTCAACCGCATAAATCTATAATGCAGCGATCATATCTCTATTTAGCGCCTAAATTTTATGAAATTATACCTAAAGACTTAAAAGATTTACGTTTCGGAAATTGTTTCAAAAGAAATTTAAAAAAGTGGCTACATTCTATATCTAGGACTGAAATTCATAAACTCATAAATACGAACATCAACTAAATACATAATCTACTGTAGCTAATTTTTGTCCTTTTTTGTCATTTGCATTCTACAGTTTCAACTTAAATTATTAGTCCATGTACAGGCGATGCCTTCTATTGGGCCTGTTTTGATTTTATATTTATTTACTCATAATGTTTGTTATCTTTGTACATTGAGTGAATAAATATTATTATTATATTAACATTACAACTCAACATTAAAGGTACTATACAAATGGTGAAGAATCTTTTAAAATAAGTACCATGAAATATCAGACTGTCTGTTACTGTAAATATAAAAGCATAAGCAAAGAATTAAATGCTTCTAAAATTTCAGTGTTATTGTGTACATAAAATATGTTTAACAAACGATTAAGTGCTACCAACCAATTCTGTGTTTCTGTGTGTTTAAAATACGTTTTTTAATAATGACTTAAATTCATGATGATTTGCTGTATTCCTGATATTGATATCTGATGCATTATATTTAAGATCGTTATGAGTGTAAGAATGTCGAAACATAGCTATGCGATGTCTTGGTATGGATGATGTGCCCGTATATCTTAGATTAGATCATGAAGATTTATTCTTGTTCCATAAATATAGTGGCGAATGACTAGTTAAAATGTATTGTTGAACGGGTTATTAATTATGAGCTACCCTGCATCTGCCCGTATATAGCAGTTTCGACAAAGTTAACATACGTGGGTCTTCGTATATGAGTGGGTCCAAATTTTTTCATAGATCATTGAATCTTAAATATGGGCTGCCTATTTCCAAGTACATGCTTGCTTTTAGAAGCCTCCGCTTTTTTTTGTTGCAAACAAGTACAACATTTGATGTAGGATTGAGTTTCATGTTATTAACAGCAGAGTATTTAATACTCCCGAGATCAAAGCTATTTTAAAACCATAAGGGGGTAGCTTAAGAATATACTAAGTGACATATAAATCCGAATACCCAGTTTAAATGGTTTTATTTTAATAAAAGTTGGTGAATGTATTTATCTTACTGTAAATAACAAGTGAAAAAATTGTCAGCCTTATCAGTTGGACATTCCGGTTTTTGTACTGCTTTTTTTTAATTCACTAACGCTCAAAGAATGAACGTTGGCGGATTTTGGTTCTTGACATCCTTTACGATCGGTTACGATGCTTAGAGTACGGAGACCTGTACGATTTCGTCAACTTAGTGAGTTTGATAGGTGCCGTATAGTGGGACTTCGGGAAGCTGGACTTTCTTTTCGGGCAATTCCAGTTAGAGTGCAAAGAAGTGTAGACACTGTGGTTAGGTGTTGTCAGGCATGGCTTCGAAGAGGCCGTACGCAAAGAGCAAGGGGCACTGGACGCCGCCGTAGAACAACAGACCGTGAAGATCGCCGCCTAAGATTATTGGCCTTAAGGGACCGTTTCTCCACTACCAGGTCCATTGCAAATGAATGGTTTGCAGAACACGGAAGACCTATTGGCATGCGAAGTGTTTACCGACGAATGAGAAGTTTTGGATTGTTTTCATACCGGCCACACTGGGTCCTCCCTTTAACTCGAGAACACCGACGTAATCGCCTTGAGTGGTGCAGACAACGGTCACTCTGGGATCAGGAATGGAACAGTATTGTCTTTAGTGACGAGTCTCGATTTTGTTTAGGCATGCACGATGGTCGTGCCAGGGTTAGAAGGCGACGTGGTGAAAGGAGGAATCCATAGTTTTTTGTTGGAAGACATGTTCATCACACTGTTGGAGTTATGGGTTGGGGTGCTATAGCTTATGGTTCCAATCTTCATCAGAGGTAACATGAACGCGCAGCATTATATCCACGCAGTTCTAGAACCCCATCTTTTAGCCTATCTTGACACCCTGGCAGATCCAACTTTCCAACAAGATAATGCCCGACCACATGTTGCAAGAGTCACAATAGACTTCTTTCAACATAATGATGTCACATTGTTACCATGGCCACCAAGATCTTCCAACTTATCCCCAATTGAGCACGTGTGGGATATGATGGGTAGGAGATTGCTCAATTTGCAACGTCCTCCTCAGACTCTGGCAGCACTTCGAGAGGAGTTGGTGGTTGCCTGGAATGAGATACCACAGGAGGACATTGACCACCTGATCAAAAGCATGCCTAGGCGCGTTTGAGAATGCGTAGCGCATCAGGGTGCATCCACACATTATTAAAGGTCAAAGGGCTTTAAAGCAGTGCAATCATTTTGAAATTTTTATCATTTACTTATTATGCTTCATTAAGTACTTATACAAAATTTTATTAAAATAAAACCATTTAAACTGGGTATTCGGATTTATATGTCACTTAGTATAATTGAGTATTATCGACATGGAAGGTTTTTAATTTTGATGACCAAATAAATGAATACATTAAAAACAAGATGTTCCCTAGAACCGAACCTCTCCAGGAACAATCTAAAAATTTAAAGTACATGTGCCCAGAACCACCTCTTACTGTCTGTCTTTAAGATATGATCATGGTGTCGAATGCCTTACTAAAATCGAGAGAAATGTTGCTATATTATTAGCTAAATTGTGGATTGTATCATTAACTGTAGCAAACCCGAACTGTAACTCAGGTAATATATTATTAGTGCAAGTAAAAGTTGTTTGTAGACCGGGTATGCTGTCTAGGTCAGTTGGAAAGAATAAAATTGGTAGCGACTGGTTTTCTGGGCGACATAAAAATTTAGTGCAGTTTAATGCTTCTAAGACGCAGCAGTCCACTTTAACTAAAAGAGGAAGATTGAGCAGAGAGTAAAATTGTCATAAAACAGAGGAAATATTCTAGAGTGAAATACATCTCTATATTATGTCAACATAACCCTCTTTCCACCCATCTTGACGCTAATGTTAACCACTGAGTTTCGAGTCATCCACTTCCCAGCCAACCGAGCGAAGGGGCTTTTTTGTTTGTTGAAAAAACTCCGTGCATAATGGACTGGTAAATTGAATTTTATAGCTGATTCGGTCGAATTAGTTTTTAAAACCTCCTACTCGAATGCAAATTACTATTACATTTTTTAATTACTTTAACTGGAGGGTGGATTAGCAAGAACCATCATGTTAAATCGACTATAAAATCTGTAGAAATACAAAGTGCTGCTGGGTTTATGGGGGCAATGAAATAAATCACGTGTTCGCGATTTTTATGGGTTCTTTATGGATTACCTTCTGCCTGATTTTTATAGATTCCATGTGATTTCATCACACAGACCGATGAACACGCCTCTCGATAGTGCTGCGTAATGTTAATTTCATTAAGCTGTTTTGAGATCATTTGCTTAGCGAAAGAATACAAGACAGCAAACAGTGAAACCTGCCCCAGAAACCGGTATATGACTCGGTGTCGTCAATGTCAACCTTCTCCTAAGTTGATTTGCTCCTGTGAGGTATGAAAGAATATCCCGATGCTTCATCTATTAGAATTTGCCATTGCTATTTTTCTCCTCCACATAATAATTATAAATATAGTTTGAAGAGGCGAGCGTCGCATAGATGGCGCTGTACTCAACTACGAGCCCCCTCCCACTTCAGTTGGCCTACTTCAAGATTTGTACCAAGATATGCCTTTATAAACTAAACACGACGAAACTATTTACTTCTAAAACAATTTATTTTCTCAAAAACTTTTTAGATCTAGTCGTAAAAAATACATATTTGAAATCACTTAGACCTATAACTAATAGAACATCTGAACAAATAAACAATGTGCGAATAAATGCGCGAAGTTAACAAAGCAACAATTGAAAGATTATCATTGGGTAAAATCACCTTTATTTTTTATTACGGCTTTGGGGCATAGTGTTAACCAAGTTTTGGCAAAAATTTGGTGTAAAACAATCCCTTATTTCTTGAAGCTTTTGTCTCAGTTCGGTGATTGTACGAGCAGGATGTTGTCGTAGAACCTTTTTCATCTCGTGCCACAAAGTTCCAATAGGTGACAGATCTGGACTGCTAGGAACCCATTTCAAAAGTGGTACATTATTTTCTTCCATTCATTTTATAGCCTTTTTTAAGGTATGGCACGCTGCACCATCTTGCTGAAAGACAAAATCTTGGCCGGATGTCAAACATTCTTCCATCACTGGTAAAAGCGATTCTTCTAAAATTGCCAAATATGGGTATGAGTAAACCACTCCTCTAGTTTGTCGATCAACTCGGTATAACCTATAGTTCAATCCCAGAATGTAACCAAGTCTCACAAATTATAGTGGGGTTCAATATAGATGGACATTTAGACATCAATTTCTTTAAATAGTTCTCGTTTACAAGCAATAGTCTCTCCTCGCAAGGTTGTGACACCTTGTATATGAGTAGACCACCGCCTCTGGTTTGTCGATCAACACTGTATGTATGACCTCCTAAAGCTTTCGTCTTGCACTGCGTCATCATCAGTCCCACCATGTAACCAAGTCTAACAAATTAAAAAATATATCTAATAATTCAATATAAATGGTAACAACCATCAGACATTCAGGCATCCCATGTTCAAGATGAGCGACCTGTTTGAATACATTGTACTAAGTTTGAGTAATATAAGTCAATTATTGACGCTTTCATATGACCCAATTCTGACACACATTCAATTGCAGCAATAGTTTCATTTTCTCCTTAATCATTTTCTCAATTTCCTCTTCTAGATATGTTGATTCGATTTCTCTATTTTGCTACTTCAGAGCATCAAAATTCCTTTTCAGATGTTCCCTTATAAATAACTCTCTATTCGTCATTTGTTTGTCTGGGCGGTAGCAATCTGTCCAACAGAATCTTCATATGTGCACATCTCTGATACTAAATCTTTCACGGTTACAAGCAATCCATCTTCGCCGCGCTTGCTTCCTGCTTGTGCTATGTTGGCAAAAAATTAATCACAATCACCAGCACTGGCTACTTGCAAGGAATCCGGAATATAATAGCGCAATTTGTACATGTACATAGCTAACTTTTTCCTAAGAGGGGCCAACTTTTTCCGAACGTAATCCCTTATGAAGCGTTGAAGGTGGAGAGAAGCAATTTTTTGTATTGTACTCCGATCTATCGATTTTTTAGTAAACCAGATACACCACACTCGCCCATAGCCCCGAAAACGCCAAAAGTCTTCCAAAAACCGAGAAAAACCACCCAGAACTGTTGTCGTAATACATCATTTAAATGATAAGGAATCTTTGACCGAAATGTTGCATTGTTTACGTATCTGAAACGCGAGAAATTTCACATTGGCACTAAAAGGGAACAATGTTGTTTTCCCTGTAAGAAAACAATATAAGAAACAATAGTTTAGCCTTAAGGATATTCAACCAAATTGGGTCACAGTCCACAGACGAAGTAGAAGGACAATTGCTGTTAAATGTATAAAGGATGATTCCTTAACCTTCCTTTTGTAATTGTTATCCCTTTTGAGACGTCATCCCATTTTACGCTCTTCTCATTTTACCCCATGTCATGTTTCCCATATTTTTAAAGAAGAATTTCAAACATATGTGATTTCATTAGCCAGATCAGACATGTGAGATTATATTTTTATTGGTTCCAGGTGCTGCCTAGCTGCCCAATCAACTGCCCCAAAGAAATCTACGACCTGATGTGCGAGTGCTGGCAACGAAGTGAAGCTTTACGTCCAAACTTCCGAGAAATCCATCTGTTCCTTCAACGAAAGAGCCTAGGTTTCACACCGGTTGATGTTCACTGACAATGAACTGTATTCTAGTGATTTATTCAAATTTGAAAATATACTACCAGGACGTTATTTAGCTACGGTTCAGCAGAATGGTTGAGAAAGTTTTTTTTGGCGTATACGAAAATGCTAAGGCACGGGGGCGTAGCTAGGATGCTGGAATGGGTTTGAGCGATGTGGTTATCACGATTTCAACGATGTGGTCTAGTGTACAAATCATAGGGAAACGTTCTCGTACACTCCCTCAAGAACAGCCTCCTGGTTGCGCCCCTGATAAGGCAACTAGACTTATAGAGGCAGATAATATGAGAAGCACGTATTTTGATTCTCGCGAGTGACTTAGTTCCAAGTCCATACGAGTATGTCGTGCATTGACGTTTTATAAAGTTACCATTTTAAGCTTTTGGGAGTCTGGCAAAGATTACAATAAAGAATAGGAAATACGTTAGTCACATCACTAGTTTATCAACCTTATCTATTGATTCTACGTATAACTATGGAATTCTATAGAATGCCGACTGAATTCCTTGAAAAAAACGTGACTTGTCAACTGCATTCAACACCATAAAGTCTGTTACCTAAATCACACACAAATAAGCCCAGAGCAAGAACCGTAGTAAGAAAATAGCTTAAAAGCGTGTCCGTAAAAGGAAATACTGGAGTTTTACCAGTAGTAATTTGAAGAGCAGTGAAGAGAAAGTATATCAATAAATATTTTATTAGTAATGAACTTTCACTTTTCTAAGAGCACGTTCGTAACGTTAAAGTTATAAGGGTGTATTTGTAAGGAAATCATGCACCTCCCCCTTCATTCTTGGATAAGATTACATTTCCCTGTGAGGACGGAAATTTAATATCCGTCAGTTACCTTTTTTTTTTTCGTTGTTCAAACCAGTTCACCTATACTTTGACCGATAATCAGATGAAACTTCATCCAATCTTACAGATGGCACGTCCTTCCTGATACGCGCCAGATACATATTTAACTGTATCTTTCAAAAGCTGATTCGTAGTATTTATTTGCAACAGCAGTTCAATCAATAAGTTATAGAGAACAGATTGAAAAACACGTAAAAGTTACTTATGCATCCATGCATCTGTATGGAAAATTTTATTTCTATATTTGAAAATATGAAATGTTTCTTTTCGATACTATGTTGATCACCGGAAATGCCCATATTTTAGCGATTTTGTTATCTGCTGAAAGCCACTGCAACCAAGTCAGCCAAAACGCTGAGTGTACACCCTGAGGAAGAATCAGGGACATGTGGCACAGCGATCTGTAGTTTTTTCGGTAATCTGGTTTGTTCATCTATATCATTTTCATTACGTGATCGTAGTAACTTCATCGAATATGGTAACTCAATACCTTTCCACTTCAAACTAGATACCATACGATTAGGCTGACATTATAACTAAAAATTATCAAATCATCATCGAGCTTTGTATTATATGCGTTTCGACATCAAAGCTAACCCATTTTAATATTCTCACCTAAGTATTTCGAAAACTGCGCATTCTAGAAAACGACAGTAGGGTTCCACGACCTTCAAGGACATTTCAACCTCAAGTGAAGACTTTCATGTACAGAATTGAAAAGAGGGGTACATTCTATTTCCGAGCACCACCATGACCTTGACTATTGCCTTAAAGGGCCATTTCAATGTCAAATCAATACATTGAAAACAATTTGCTCTAGCAGTTCTGAAGTTTATGTAGATTACACAAAGGCAATCTCGGCCATGACCTTCGGGGTTGAGCCAAAATTTTCCAAATTAATCCTCTCACTTTACACTGGAAATTGAAGAAGCGACGACCGAATGTGACCTCGACCTCAAAATCAAGGTCGTGTCAAGCTTAAACGTTGAGTAGTGAATTGCGGCCAAGGTCATGTTGGAACGTGAAATCTCCTGCCTTTTCCATTTCCAGTATAAAAATGAGGGCGTTGCCTTTGGAAATTTTAGCTTGACCGTAAAGGTCATTCTCGAGGTCAAGGTCAGCTTTGGATGATTTTTGCTGGAGCAAATTGTTTTCGATGTCTTGATTTGACTTTGAAATGGTTTTGAAGACAATGGTCAAGGTCATAGCCAAGGTGATCTGCAGGCATACAATTTGTTCCTCTGCCCAATTCGCACGTGAAAAAGGGGAGATTCCTTTCACGAATATTTACTTGACATTGAAAAGACCTTGACGGTCGTAGTCAAGGTATTGTCAAGGTCATCAACATTTTTTCCTTTCGAAGCCCTACAATTCTTGTTTGAAGCTCTTATTTCAGAATGCGCAGTTTTCGAAGTATTTGGGTGGGAAGATAAAATGGGACACAGTGTATTACGGCCCAGTATCTACAGTGGCGATTTTTAGTTGAGAGCAGGAAAATTCATTTTGGAAACAATTTTGGAAATGATAAGCTAAACTCTTTAGTTCTGTACGTGTTAAGTGTAAGTGAAATCACATTAAATAGTATTTTTTATTGGACTTAATGTTTATAGCAACTTTTGAGACAGTCATTGCGCTTAGCGTACAACATCAAGCAGCATAAGCTAGAATGCATAAGGACATTTATATCGTCTTTGTCGTACGGGACGATGACGATTATGGAAAATCAGCTTTGGCGAACCATTGGTGATGATGGCAGTCGTCAAATTTTTCACCTGTTTGTGCTCAATATCTTGATTCAATCATTGTTCAAGGCCATTATTCTTGGCGCTACGGTATTGATGATCATACCAGTATTGTATTTGCTATTATTTTTCTACAATTTTGGGAATGTCTTTGGTAGAGGGAAATTTCCTAAACCGAGCACTTGCCCTAAAGCGGACTCCTGATGCCATTGGCTCTGGAATGTATGAAACTTCACTATTGTTATGTGTAAATAGTATCTAATGTGTTTACTAAGCCGTAGTGAAGCTCATGCGCAGCTCCCGTCACGTGCAGCTTTTCTAAACACGTGTTTTGATAGTGGGAAAGCTTTTTGCGGAGTGCTGCGGTTTTCATGATTGTTTCTAGATATTTTCAAGTAAGGTTCGTCTTTCTCGTGGTTAATTTAGTCATGTGACCGAAATTTCATGTTTTTGACTTCAGTCGTGCAAACCAGGTCCCATTTTTATGCCAAAATCTTTTAAAATTCCTTGTAAATTAGAAAAGTATAATAAGATAAAACAACTGAGTCCTTGCTAATGGGTTCTGGAAAAAGAAGACAGGATGAAAGAAGTTGGGAAGCCAGGAGTTTTGCTTTTAAGAAGTTTTCAACGAGCTAAGCGAAGTGTGGAGTAAATGCCGCTTAACATTACAAAGTAAACGTTGCATAATTTTGAGACCTAGTCTTAGCATTTCTGTATTTCTGTGATCGATAACAAAATGGAGGTCCGGTTTTGATCACTTTACCTTTATTGTTATTAATATCATTTGACAATTGTTGAACGACCTCATATAGCTTAACCAGGACCGTACCTTAACTTCGATTCCATATCCCCCTCAAAAAAAGATATGTAGATATGCTCAATAGGTTTTGAAAATATCCCCTGCTATACTAGTCCCACATGGTTGTATTCTCGAGCGTTATTCGCAGCACAAAGCTAGTTTTTAGTGCACTTTTTAGTTTACTACTCTACCTTGTATATTTCTGTGAATAAAATAACTATCTTCTTATATATGATTAGATGTAAGATAGTATGGAAAGGAAATATTGAAACGCAATCACTGTATATTCAATTAGTGAAGTAGTTAAAAAACATTTTATCAGATTAAGTACGTCTATGCGAGGTTAACGATAATGTTTTGCAGCGCTTGTCATCTAACATCAGGTGGAATAAGCTCCGGCAAAACAGCAATGCGATATATTACAATCAAATAAAAAATATACAATGTTTTCTTTGAACAACTTTGGCATCCCGAAATAACGTGTTTGATTTCGCATTTCAATTGCCATCACTACTTTTGAAGAGAAACTAATTTGTGTATTTATCGTGAGATCCTATCCCTTTACGAAAATATGGGTCTGTTGTAATTTCACAATGTCCCTAAGACAAAGTTTCCAATAGAAATTGTTGAACCTTCAGTATAATGTTATTCAGAAAACATTTCCTCTTCTCTTTTCCATGAGAAGCGTGTGTGTCATTTTAATACTTTTAACTTTAGAAGTATTGCCATTATTTGTGGAACCCTGCTGTACGGTGCTTCTGGAAATGGACCCTCTAGAGTATATCTTGAAGCTGGTTCCTGGGAGAAAAAGTAGCCTATGTGGTATTCCAGACTATAATATATCTCGTAACAAATTTCACCCACATCCATTTAGTCACTTTGGCGCGATTGGGTAACAAACATCCACATTTTCTTATTAACAATGTTACTAGGGATTCATGCAGCAATTTCAGCTTGCTATCTCGATCCGTTCAAGAAATGAAATAGCGGGCAACTTCTTGACTAACTATATAATTATTTTATTAAGTTACTGTGCTAAATTCAAAAATATAATAAAATTGGATACTGCTAAAATTTCATCATCTTGGAAGCATGTCTCTATACGCTTGACAATCAGATAGATTATTTCTCGTATCAATAAAAAATGTATTCCACAAGATTTTGAATAAATATAGAGTTCCACGTAAGAATGGTCGTTAATGAATTAAATATTGCAACATGGTGCTAATTAGGGAAATTTGTCCCAAACTGTAACATCATGTGTAATGAATTTGTTTAAAAAATGTACCATACTAAAGAAATATTAAATTCAAAAATTTGCGTACTTTTTACCATACTAGCGCTCTTCCCAGAGCATTTTTCATACATTCCTTCAACAGTTTGAGTGATATTTTAGAAATTTATTTCGAATACGAAATATTCTGCTTGCTACATTTTTGGTCTATTTCCATAATATAAACCATAGAGCTCATTGCACCTGAACTATTAAGAAGCATATGTTTTTAAACTATGTATATTTGTTAAACAATCCTGTTTGGAGTGATTTCAGCTGTAGGCCACCATGCTGGTGCAAGCAGAATTGCAGTGGTGATAAACTCAATGTAAATATGTATCTAATCACTAGAAACGCTGAACTTTTGGGTTTTTGTACATTGATACATGAATAAATATATTCCAAATGGTTTGTTAAAACTGGTAAATTGGACCAATTGTATTAAAGTATTAAACAAATATTGTGTTTAATTTAATAGTCCGTCTGAACAATCACGTACTGGTATTCCACAAACATGGAAATCGATCTCACTTAAATCTGACCAATGGATAATACCGGAATTAATGAGACCTAGATTGACAAGTTGTCAGTTATCTAACGGTGGAAGTATCAGTTATGTTTCGACTATGTCTTGGTGACATTATTTGCAATCGAAATGAAACAGCGCCAAACGTCATATATCTCCAAAATCGACAGTTCGCGTGTAATAGCCCTGTCACCATCTGACCGCTAGATGGATGACGATTCTGGTAGAGGTGATTACTCGCCATTGAAAAAGCTAAACGTGACCCGTCCGACCAAAAGACAGCCAACCACGGACAACTGTTTCGTGGTTTTTGGCTACTCATCAACATGGCAAATATGGTGAAAAAAGGCTCGATGCATAATAATAATAATATAATAAACCGTCTTTTATTTTCAAAGAAAATTCAGTATAATAAAAAAATATATATAATACCAGTGGCGAAGTCCCTGACAGCTACTCTACTCAACCACTGGAGGGGAGTACTCAAATAAGCGAATAATTAAATTTGTTATTAAATAATATGTAATTACATATGTCAAAATCAATGAGGTAGACAGAAAAAGTATACATATGATGAATAATATAGAGCCACACAGATGTACAGATTATGCTTTTAACTTTTAGAAACTATACAGGGCGTACAAAGAAAGGAACAGCACATTCTTTGTTAAACAGATCTAGCCACACTTTTGACATCAATATTGCTTTTATATATACATATACACATATATACATATACTCATATATACATATACACATATACTGAGGGATTAATCGAGAAGATCTTGTCCCAGAATGAATTCGGTATTTTCAGTAGTGATGATATAGAAACTGTAACCACTTTCAGATGTTCCGAATCTACTTTAAATGTTGTCATTGAGGTTAGCCCAAAATTTAGAAAAACGTTGCTAGATAGAGGTCATATATACATGGGTTGGCAAAGATGTCCTGTGCGGGATTATGTACGAATTATACGCTGCTATAAATGTTCAGGTTTTCGCCACATGGAAAAAATTGCATACATTCTAAAGTATCATGTCCTTTATGTGCTGGAGATCATTTGGAAAAAAATTGTAAATCTGCTTTTAAGAATTGTTCAAACTGTATGAATCACAATTCTAAATTCAACACTCAATTTGATATTAGTCATTCTTCTAAAGACTTAGATCGTCCAACTTATATAAAACATGTTACATAATTGAAATCTAGAATTGAATATGAATAGTAATAAATTCAAGGTTTTAAAATTTGGTCATATAAACTGCAGATCAGTTTTATCAGGATTTCATGAATTTAGTACACTGGTTCAAAACAACAACCTTGATATTGTTGGAATATCGGAAACGTGGATATCAAAAGATATATCTAATGACCATATAAGAATGAATGGATACAACTGCTATCGCTGTGATAGAGATGGGCGAGGTGGTGGGGTTGTAGTCTTTGTAAACAACCACTACAACTCTTCCATAATTTCATTTGGGCAAGGCCCAAGTCTTGAATATATATGGTTGAAGGTGCATCTTCCAAAACAAAAAATTGCTATTGGTATATTCTATCGGCCCCCACATAGCTCTGTTACAGAAGCCGGTAATACCTTTGTTGCCTGCCATATTAGCTGAATATGATGATATCATCCTTGAAGGGGATATCAATGTTAATTTGCTTTTAGTTTGTAACAACTTGACTAAATGCCTTGATTCTTATAATCTGTAACAGGTGATATCTGAACCGACTAGGATAACTGAATCGACACTCACTCTTTTAGATCCTATTTATTTGAGCAAGCCTGTAAGTTGTCTTAGGAGTGGCACTATTAATGCTGATATGATTACTGATCACTATTTAACCTTCTGTGATATACGTATTGCACTTTCTAAAAATCAACAGAAATTTGTGACATTCAGGGATTTCCATAGTTTAAACGAAATAGCGTTTGAACAAGATCTCAAGAGTTTTCCATGGTGGCATATTATATCGATAGATGACATCAATGTCAAGATAAAATTAACTTTTTAACATACATACATACAACTTTGAAGTTGAGTCATTAATTTTCAGATAATGATTGTAGAACGAAGATAAACCAAAATATGTGTGTAAAAATAAAAAAAAAATTTACCTTGTTTTATAAAGTATCCTCCCGACAGGTATTTCAGTGCGGACCTGTATTTGATCGTGAGGTCTTGGAGCACCGGCATGCCGTCGCCTGTGAGGTCTTAAGTCACCTGATTCACGAGCCCGTTGTACTACATTAACAAAGGCACGAGGGGTTGGTTGCACTCGATTGGGAAACCGATCCGCATAAACATGTGCCATTTTTGATTTCGTTTGAGCCACGCAACAGACACCATTATCCACTACCGACTGACACTGACTGTATACAACTGAATGAAATAATTGTAAAAACATCGTTCCAAATTCTTTCGCTTTTTTGTTTCCGGTGCGATGAACCGATAAGGCGAATTATATCCGTTGTCGCCAAATACGAGCACATAATATTATTCTCAAACTTCCAAAGGGCTATAACTTTGTTACTTTAATTTTACCAGAAAAATAGTAAAGGAAAAAAACATTTCTTTTGATCAGATCTACTCACTGTTAAAATAAATGACTCAACTTCGAAGTCACCCTGTATATTTATCAATAAATCAGCACCAAGAGCATCTGATCGTAAGCTATGCAACACGGTGTGCACTTCTTCGACAGTTATCATCCTGAACTGGAAGCTTAAATTAGCATTATGGACATTAGATGAATAAAATTCGATTTCTTTGTCGCGAACAGATGTAACACATTGTGAAAACGAAGCAAAGTGATTATTTAGATCATCAGGGTTGCTTAAATGAGCTGGAATTGAGGTTTTACTAGCGTAAATCAAGACATTTTCTTTTTCACGCCTTGTAGCAGCCAAAATATAGTTCCTCAACTCCTTATATCTAGCGTAGTGATTCTCCTGTTTCCTTCTTTTGAATCTTTGCAAGGCCCTATCGCGCTCTTGTTGCAATAGTCTAAGATTGTTGCTAAGCCAAGGTGCAGGTTGCCTAGTTGCTCTCTTCTCAGTACTAGGTGCATGGACATCGAACACAGATAATATGAAAGAAGTGAACATATCTATTTTAGCGTCAATGTCTTCGGTTCTGATTAATTCAAACCATGATAGTCCAGTTACCTCCGTCAGAAAAATGTCGAGATTTAAATGTTCAAAATGACGATGTTTAACCATTTTCACATGATTATTGTTAATAGGAAAGCAGATTTTAATAAAAATCAGATCATGATCTGAAATAGGATGTACCAATATTGTACCCGACCGTTGAACAACGACGACATCAGATAAAAAAAATGCATCAATTAACGTGCTTGAACTATTCGTTATCCTAGTGGGGGCGTTTATTATCTGCGGGAAGCCAACAGGTTCGAAAGATCTTGATAGCGGATTATCCAAATTTTACAGGTTAACATTAATGTCGCCTAAGCATGCAGTCCAGTCAACGGTATTAATCACTAAAGATGGAATGTTTTCAACGCCATCAATTACTTGAGTAATATTGGCAGTAGGAGGTCTATAGAAAATTCCAAGAGCACCAGTGTAAGTTTCATACTTTAACTGAAGTAATAAATACTCAAGGCTACTGTTCGGAGAGTAACCCACATCAGTGACAGCGCACAATAAATCAGCCTTAACATAGACCCCAACTCCTCCACTCTACGATCTTTGCAAAAGGGAGTATAACCAGGTATGTTGATCACAGTAGAATCAAAGTTGCAATCTAGCCAGGTTTCAGACATTGACATAACGTCATAGTCGTTATCTGAAATAATTTGCTTGAGCTCAGCAAAAACAGAGAAAATAGATCGCACATTTAAATGTGCAAATTTTCATGCAGACTGAAGTAAACAAATCGAAAAAAAGCGAGTAAGCAGTACCTACTACCTGAGTTGCTAGTACAGAAAAAGATATTTAAATGTATACCAAAAACAAAATTATCGAAGATTGGAAAATAATAGGTTGGAACAAGATTCAACCATTTCTGGATCTCACAATGTAGAAATTTGATTAAGCAGTTATCAGACGTTAAACGTAAGTTTGGGAAAACTGAGATGAATATTTTACAACTTATGGATATAAGTAATCAAAGCTAAGCTAAATTTTGTCAGTGTCATCTTTCGATGTAATTGATATTCTTTTGTTGTCTTTCAGAAAATAAACTATACCTAAATATGACCAAGCACCATGAGTTTGAGCCGGTTTTCAGTTAGATCTTTTATACATATGTTAGAAACTTTTAGCAAATTTTTCTTATTGTAGATATTTTGTTTCATCACAAAACCATTCAGCTTAAGTATGATACCTCTTCGTTTACCATCTTGTTTTTTCCCCAACCGCCTGCAGTCTAAGGTATCTTCCTGCTTGATGTTAATTCCCATACGAGAGTTAACCCTGTTGATAATCTCTTCAAATAAGTTGTCTGAATCTTTTTCTACTAAGTTGAATATTCTGAGCTTATCCGTCCTAGCTCCTTGATCCAGCGATTCAATTTTCCGCATAAGCTGTTCGTTTTCAGATCTCAAGATAGATGTTTCTTCTTTAAGGTCGTTGACTACCGTACTATTGAACGAAATTATATACTCAATTTTCTTCTCTAGTACGGTAATTTTTCCACCAGACTTTTTGTTATATTTGTGCCACTTTTTGTGCGATTCGAGTGATAGACTGGTCATCGCTGAAGTAATGATGCTACTTACATGAGATTTAATTTCATTTCTAATTTCTCTCATTATGACCGTTGCAAATCACTTTTGTTTTTTACTGATACCTCGATTGAGACTACTGAAGATGTGTAATGTGAATAATTTACACAACTATACTATAACTATCTAAAACTGTAATGACTCATCGATATTCACGTGAACATCACTTGACTACCAGTAGTCGGCTGTTCATATGCGGGGTATGAATGTTTAACATGGGTGAACTAGATTTGTCACATGCTTAATAAAGAGTGGTTTGAAACATATTGTAAGTAAAAAATTTGGGAATTACCTTTATTCATCGTCGCTTCCACTTACATCTGACAGTAATAAACTGTCGCTATCGCTTTCATCGTTGAAATTGACTATAACTGGCTCTATGATGGTGTCGATGTGGTGGTCAAGCTCCCACATTTTTGTTTCTTCCTTCACAACATGACGGATAGCATTCTGCCAAGCTTCGGGCGTTACTAGCTGTATGGAAGTCTCAAGTAAAACCTTAACGTCTGGTAATTTGAAGGTTGTGCTATGGCGGGCAATATAACCCTTCACTTGAGCCCAGATGAGCTCTATTGGGTTTAGTTCACAGTGGTACGGCGGTAACCGCAGCACAGTGACACCACATTGACGGGCCATCTCATCAGTCACGTAACTAATGTTCGCAGGTTTGTGCTGTTTAATTTTTTCATACAATTCCGCTTTCACACATGAATCGTCAAACGGGATTCCTTTTTCGCATGTCACTTTTTCGAGATCCCATAGTCGGTACACGTTCGGCTCGACGACTATGGTAGGAAGCATTATCCATGACGATCACAGAGTTGGGCTCAACTCGCTGAAGCACCCCTTGAAACCAGCTCTCGAAGCAGCTGGCATTCATTTCGTCATGGTAATCACCTCCTTTCTTAGAGACGAAAATCAAGTCACACTCTTCTAAAAAGCCAATATCGCTACCAATATGAGTTACGATCAGTCTTTGACCTTTCCCTGACGGTCCACGAAGACCTGTTGACAAACCTTCAATGCTTGCTTGTCGGTTACTCACTACGTTTTTGTCTATCCAGGTTTTAACTGTGTGACCTGCATTTACCCATGTCTCGTCCAAATAATAGATTTTTCTGCTTTGTCGCCTATATTCAATCATTTCGCGGAGGTATTTTCGACGCCAGGCGACTATTTCAAGTCTCTCTATCAATACTCACTTCCGATTACGCGTTTCGTAACAAAAATTAATTTCGTGCAGGGATTTCCTCATTACCTCGACGCTTATTTGGGGTATAATTTCATTTTCCTTGATCGCTGCATGTACAGCCTTGAGGGTTCGTATCTCATTCCTAAAGAAGAATGAATGTACGGTTCGCCTTAACGCCATTTTGCTATCGTCATCCAATTTAACGGCCTTTCGTCCCTTCAAATCACACTTTGGATCAGTAGTAGCTCCAGTTTTCTTCTTTTCATGCACCACCCTGCGAATGGTCCACTCTGGAACGCCTGTCATACTTTCACAACGCGCGAGTGCATCTCCCTGCGACATAGTTCTGTTCAAATAATTGAACACGTTGAGCACGATTTCTTTCGCGTCCCTCTTCAGTGCCGTCTACTTTTTCCCTGGCTTTCAGTACTTCCACTCGTGCAATTTGTACTCTCCATGGTTAAGGATAACCAAAACAGTAACCACACAAACAACAACAATAACAATCACACAACAATTCTTATAAAAACACACAATATGCGATCGCTCAACGAAACACGTTCCAATGCGTTGCCGACGCCTATGAGTCTGCCGGTCGAGGCGCGTCTTTGATTTCATTGGTTCTACCGGCGGAGAACAATCATTTCCATCTCTGTCTGTGCCGTTGACCACCGCAAAGCCACAGAAACGACATATGTCGTACGCTATACGGCTGTACTGGAAGGAAGCCGGGATCGAGCTCTGATCACGTGTTGATGACGCGTATGAGTCATTACAGTTTTAAGTAGTTGTAGTATAGCTACTAACTTGTTGCGCGATTTTTGAATATAGGTCTAATAGAATCTAGCATGACTTCTGAATGAAGATGGACAGATCATGCTTAGCGGAAGTGCCAGAGCTGAAGCGCAGTTTTTAAGTTCGGCAGCCGTGATCCCCTTTTTACCAGGGGAGGAAGATGTCTTCAGATCTTGCAATATGTCTCCTGGCAGGAACTCAACTTCGCCCAGGCTGGTGAGGCACCTAGGGAGTTTGATGCTTGGTGTAGGATCTCCATCAGCTAGCAAGTTAGCAGATTCGGCAACATTCGTATAGAGATGACCATTAACATCGCGGTTCTGAGGCGAAGAGACTTTGGAATTGAGGTTTGTTCTTAGATACTGTAGTAACGTAGACGTAACTTTCACCGGCTCAGCAACACATACATACATTCCGCACCAGCGCCCAAGACTGACTGCCAGAGCAGTGGCGCGGAACCGCTTCTCCCAGACGGTACTCCCGCGCCGTTGCCCTGCTTCTTTGTACGTGTATGCGTGAGACAGTGTACATAGAAATTCACATACACTACATCCCTTCCTTACCAGTAATTTATTTTTGGAGATCATAACAATCCCAATTTAAGTATAGTAGTAGATCGTAGTGCCCTATCTCTGGTCTCCTACCTGCTTCTGTTCCTGGTCATGTTCATGCTCCGGATTCATTGCTTTCCAATATCCTTCTATTATCTTCAAGTGGATGATGTTCCTCCTACATGTCTTTCCTGTTTCGTCGTTCCGTAATGTGACGTCTCCATCTTTCCTAGCTTCCACGGTATGTAAGGTGGGATCATAGTTTGAGCTGAGCTTATTGTCTTTTCTGTGGTTTTTATATATACCTTGTCTCCTCCGCTTATGTCTGATGGACGCCTTTTCTCTTCCTATCTCTATATTCCTCTCCCTTTTCCTTTTGCATTTTGTCTTTGTCCCTTATGTCATTATCGTTTGTCCAGTTTTGTGTTTTGACCAGATGAGGTATTTTGTCTTGCAATTGATTTTCAGGGTATCTACACAATCGCGATAACGGGTCAGCTATGTTCATTTTCCCAGGCTTGTAAACACTGTTGTATTTATACGACTGCAACCTGAGGACCTACCTTTTAATTCTTGCACAAGGATTTGATTTAGATCCAAATAGCACCTCCAAAGGTTTATGACCTGTTATCAGATCGAACTGCTTTCCAAACAGAAATATGTCAAAGTTTTCTACGGCCCATACTAATCCTAGTGCTTCTTTTTCAGTTTGGCTATATCTCCGTTCACAGTCAGTCAGTGTCCTGTTTCCATATGCTATGATTCTGGGCCACTTAAGTATCAATTTGAATCAAAGGGCTCCTAGACCAACTGGACTAGCATCAGCAATTGCCTGTGTTTTATCTTTTACATCGTAATATCCACGTGACTCTATTTCCGTGAGCGTTTCTTTCAACTTTATAAAAAAGCTTTCTTGTTCATTCCCCCAAAACTTTACAATTTTTGCATTCTTGATCAGTTTTTTCCTGAGTATTTCTTTTAAAGGTTCTGCGACCGTCGTGAAATTCGGTATCCACTTATTTATGTAGTTGACTAATCCTAGAAAACTTTGAAGCTCCTCAAGCGTTTCTGGAATTCTGAATGAGGTGATGCTTTGTATATACTTGTTGTCCATGCGAGGACAGCATATGACCCAAAAAACTTATTTCGTGCACCTTATAAATGCATTTTCTGTCATTTAGGGGCACTATGTTTTCGTTAAGTACTGCAAGTAATGATTAAGACGTGAATCATGTTCCTCTTCGTTATTCCCAAATGTCAGGATATCATTTATAAAATTTATAACTCCCTCACAATGTAACAGCATCTGCTCGACTATTTTCTGAAATAATTCAGGGGCGCATGTTATAGCAAACATTAAGCGTTTGTACTGATACAGACCTTTCGAGGTTATGAACGTTGTAATGTGTCTACAGTCAGGATGTGATTCCACCTGATGAAAAGCTTTTTTAATATCTAGTTTCGTAAAATATCTTGCTTCCCTAATTTTGGGCAGCAGTTGGTCCATGGAAGGCAAGAGATGATTTTCCCTCAGAATTGCGATGTTGGCGCGTCTCATATCCACGTAAAGCCTTAGCTCTCCATTTTCCTTTAATATAGGGACAATTGGTGACACCCATTTGGATGGTTTTCGAACTTCCTCTATTATGTCCGAGTCCAGCAACTTTTTCAACTCTTCTTCAACCTTTTTTCCTAAAGGGATAGGGATTCGTCTGTATGGTTGGGAAACAGGTTTCACCGATTCATCGATTGGAATGTCTATCAGGACGTCCTTGAGTTTTGGGAACGGTTTACATCCCACTTGATTTGTTCCAACTCCTATTTTCAGAACGCTCAAACGCATAGCTGTTATTTTACCCAAAGGATCTCTAGTCCCCCGGCTACCACATAAAAAGTGGTGTTTTCTTTTTTTCCATCCACATCTATATTAGCTTCAAAATATCCTCTAATCTGTAGAGGCTTGCTACTACCATATGCGAATAGCGTTTGGTTCGACCCCTTCACTTGCTTGAAGGCTTTGACCTTGCTTCTTTTCAAAGCCTCCCATGTTTTTTCTGTCAGCAAATTCAATTTACAACCCGAGTCTATCAGCATATTCAAATTAACATCGCCCACGGTACATTCTATAGTGGCGTCATCATCATCAATATGGAAAACATAATCAACTGGCCGTCTACGTAGTCCACCTCTGTCCTGTTGTCCTTCTGGCCTGCAGTCTCTCGTTTCCGCTTTTCTCCTCGTTTCCTTTCCTGTATATCTTCGTTCCTTCGCTTATCTGAGATTTGCAGTACTGGCGAAAATGACCCATCTTGCCACAGCTGTGGCACTTTCTATTTCTTGCAGGGCAGCTCGAATCATTCGATGCATGTCTAAAGGTTCCGCACCTCCCACACTTCGGTTTCTTTCCCATATTCTCCCTACGACTGGTTTCTCTTCCATATCTACTACTATGAGTAAGTACTTCATTCACTTCTTGAGATTTCGGTTTG